TGTGCTCTAGTATACTGTAAATTGTGTATATATCGATAGTGTTATAGTTGTTTGTAGTTACGGCCTATAAGTGGTCAATAAATCTATTCACCAATCCAAACCCCGTCTAGTCACACATAATGCGATATAGTATACAGCATACGGACCGAAGAGAGAGAAATACGAAGGCCACTGAAGATGTGGCATGAAGTTCTTGTAGGTTATTAAACAACGCTTTTATTATCGAGGATACATAGCGTAGGATGATAGAATGACATAAATGCTGAAATGAAAGCAATTTTGAAAGAAGCGGCAGTGTCCCAATCTCTGAATTTTAGTGGAAGGAGTGAGGAAAATCAAAAAATTCCTGCCAGGATAGATGGTGTTCCTCCAAAATTCAAACTTAGAGGTTTTCTTTAGACCATGTTGTTCGGTGACAATGAAACCAATAACTTTGATACTAAATCGCATGTCACTCTGTCAGTCAGTCTATTCATCAGTCGAATATCGGTCAATCAAACTAGTCTGTCAGTAAGTTACAAGGACCTTAGAGTCACAGTGTCCGGCCTGGAGTCCGGCAGGCCCCATTAGTACTTCGGATGGAAGCAATTAGTTGCAGCCCGTAATTGAACGGTATCAATTATTAACGCTTTGGGAAACTTCTCGGCTTACACACACCGGTCTATACATCTCGCGCTACAAATGTACAAGTATATAAATTATTACAATTGGCAGACGAGATATTCCAGCAGTCTCAGTGGAAATAATCAATTACTATACCATATATTCGTGAACAGACAAGTTCATGGAAGTAGGCCTAGGCCCAGTTGGGCTATAGTGCCACGGAAAAAAAAATCATATATTCGGCCGGGACTTGAAGCTGACCACTCACTTCCAGCTAGTATGAGGTAAAGAAAAGGTGGATCTAACATCCACTCCCCCATACATCTTCATAGCGTAGAGCATAATTCATTGAGCACACACTTCATATTTTTTACCATATATTATTTTTATTATTATTAATCTTAGTGGCGTGAGACTGAGTCCACTTGGTACGTCGGCCAATACTGACCTATTGTACCAGCCCCAGATGATAGGTGATGATTGTGGAGCAATTGGTGGAATGAAGATGGCAGGGGAAACCGAAGTACTCGGAGAAAATCTGCCACAACGCTACTTTGTCCACCAAAAGAAAAGCCACATGACCGGACCCGGGCTGGAACACAGGCCGCCGAGTTGGGAAGCCAGTGACTAACCGTCTGAGCTATGGCACGGCCTCCTATACCATATATACACCTGTCATGTAAAGAAGCCCATAATGCAACATAAAATTCTAGGTTCATTAATGTTTCTGAGGAACGTATTGCCTCCATCTTCACGGTCGAAGACTAAGCCAAGTAAACAACCAGCAAGAATTAAGCAAGGCTTACTCTTATATCCTGAAGATGGAGGCAGTACGTTGCTCCGAAATGTCAGCGAATTTCTTCCGAAATGCAAGATTTTACAACCCCGAAGAAAGTACCATTCAAAGAAACTTCAGAGAAAATCTCAGATTCGCATATTTTATTCATGTCACGCAGTTATCACGAGGAACACAAACATAACTGGTTGAATTATTTTTCTTCTCCTAGACCAAGATTAGCATTATCTGATTGGGCACCTTAATTCACATAAGAATATACCGACTGTCCCAGAAGGAAAGGCCACTATTCTGGGAGGTCATAGTATCGGTTATCCTAAGCAGAAAACTATACATGTCAATGTTTCCTATTCCGAACGGTTTTCGAAAGAGAGCTATTTCACTGCACAGTTCCAAAATTATTGATAAGGAGGAGATATTACGTACTGTTTCTAATACAAGTATTTATTGTTCAAGTGACAAAGTTGGTACAGCTACACATTTTCGAAATTTTCACCGTCAGCATCAATGTATTTTGCAACTCGTGTGAGGACATGGCGTGTTGCTCGTCTGTACAATGTACAAATGTATTATTAATTACAATGAAATAGCTCTATATGTGAAAACGATCACAATAGTACACATGTTTATATATATATATAATTTCATTATTAGAATGACCTATATTATGGCCTCACAGAACATTGACTTTTCCTCCTGGCTCACTCTGTATATTTACTTTAAAAAGGGTGAAGCCATCCCTATACCTAATTTTTTAATTCGTATAATGGGGGGGGGAGGAGTCCATTTTGGTTCACTCTGCACGGCGACCACTGATTTGCCTATTGTACCTGTACCGGGTGATTATGATGGAGAATTTGGTGGAATAAAAATTGGTAGGGGAAACCGAAGTACTCGGAGAAAACCTACCTCAGCGCCACTTTGTCCACCACAACTCCCACTTGACCAAACCCGGCTTTGAACCCGGGCCGCCGTGGTGAGAAGCCAGAGACTAACCGCTTGAGGTATGGCGCGGCCTTTTATTCCCTACACCTAATTCCACGAAGACTCACGGGGAGGTGACAGCATAGCTCCGCAATTCTTAATCTCGGCACGAGATGGGGTTGAGTTGTCAGATTCCTGCCCCTGTCGCTTTACTTTGGGGCAACAGCACCATCACCCTTTGTACAGGGGATTGGGTTGGTCCCAGAGGAGAACTGGACGTTATGGAGAAAAGAAAAATCACTTGTCCCGGCCGGGTATCAAACCCCAATTCCTCGGCCGTCCAGCCCATATCTATACAGACTGCGAAATCCTGGCTCCTAACATATGCTGTAGTACAGAGGATCTACATTTCATATGCAAAGTTCCACTTTATGATGTCAAAGCTGGTGTTCCATGCAACGTCAGTGGACTGGAGATTATGGACACCTGATTCATGCAGATACAATTAATTCTGAGAGATGTATAACCCAAGCACTGCTAGCGAGCTAGTAACCTTCAGTCTCGTCTCACCGCAGTTGGCCAAGTAGAAAAGGCAACAACCCACGCGGTAAACTCCGCGATGGAAAAGGTCGTGTTCCCGGCACAGTCGCTAGATATTCTCCTCTCCACTTCCCTCAGACTTACCCGGAAGGCTATTAAAAAGAAAGAATATATAACCCTCAGTTACGGCCGCGCCATGGCTCAAGCGGTTAGTCGCTGGCTTCCCACCGCGGCGGACCGGGTTCAGGTCCCGGGTCTTGACAAGTGGGATTTGTGGTGAACAAAGTGGCGCTGGGGCAGGTTTTCTCCGAGTACTTCGGTTTCCCCTGCCAATCTTCATTCCATCAATTGCTCCACAATCACCCTCACCTATCATCTGGGGCTGGTACAATAGGCCAGAAGTGGCCGCAGTACAAGGGACTTAGTCCCACCCCACTAGCAATAAAGAAATCCTCAGTTAGGATAGTCAGTATGAAACAGTAAACACTTAAAAAGGAAAAGCTATCCCATTAACATGCCGTGGAGGCCCATAGGGTTGGGAGACGTCGAGGCTCTAGACCAGGGGTCTCCAAACTTTTCGAACCGCTGGCCACATTAGGTAATTCAGCACTTTCAAGGGGCCGGATAAAATGAGAAATTAATAACTCTAGGTATATGAGTTTTATTGAAAGCACAGAATTTCATAAACTAAATACAAAGTACGTGAGAATAAATTATCGTATATTAATGACAACAGACAGTAGCAGCAAATACTCATATTCTCATCACAAATTATAATAAAATAATTAATGTGAATGATGGATCTCTTTTTGCATTTTTAAAATTTGATCAAATTTACTTTCAAATTTTGAAACGCTAATCACAAGTAGCGGCTTTAAATGTTCATCGGATAAATTTGCCCTGTATTTCGACTTGATGTGCTTCATCTGGGAAAAAGTTCGTTCACACAGATATGTCGTCCCAAAAATGGAGATAAATTTACAAGCAAATTTCTTTAAATTTGGAAATTGCTCAGAGTTCAGAAATTTATAAAATTCGATCAAATTTCCTTCCTTGTATTTGTCTTTAATATGATAATTTTCCTGAAGTTCAATAATTTCCATTTGAATTTGACTTGGGACATCTGCAGCATCACAGTCAAACGGATTTTGAAACAATCTAATTTCCTGAGCACTGGAATCCAAACCAGCAAATCGCTTCCGAAATTTTTCGTTCAAACCTGAAATGACTAAATTTGCAAACAGGGAAAGAAATTCTATTTCACCCTTTTTATGAAACTCTGCACAGTATTGCATATGAACAAAGTTACAATTTTTCACTTGGCTTTCCAGAAGTATCAACTTTGCTCTGAATGCCTTGATAAGTTCAAATAAATCACAGACTAAGTTATTTTCACCCTGCAACTTTAAATTCAAATGGTTCATATGGTTCACCAGATCAGCAAAAAATGCTAATTTCCAAAGCCACTCGGTATCTGATAAAAGTGGTTCGTGATGGTTTTTCTCGGTAAGAAATATATCAATTTCATTCCTGAGCTGAAAGGAACGCGAAAGAACCTTTCCACAGCTAAGCCATCGAACTGCAGTATAATATGTCAGGTCAATAAGCTCGGAATCACATTTACCAGTACTCATTGGAAAATTAGTTCTGCACAATTCTTTCGCGGACCGGATAAAATCACATCGCGGGTCGCATGTGGCCCGCGGGCCGTAGTTTGGAGACCCTTGCTCTAGACAATCGGCACATGGATGGCGAGGCTGTCAGACTTACGCGCCGGCCGCCCTTTATCCCCCAGGAAGATCCCTGGTACTCATTTCTGTTGGATGCTGAGTCGACCACAGGGTCATATTGCGGCTTGAAGGATTAGGCCGAATGAAAAATCCAATGACCTCATCAGGAATCGAACCCGCGACCTTTCGGCTTCTAGCATAGGTCCTCAACTAATTACCCTACTGCTTGACCAATAAAGACATAAAAATAAAATAAATATAACAAAATATTAACCGAAAGGAAGAGAAGAGACATATTGTATAAGTACTGGTTGGGTGGAATATTCTGTTACCCAGAAGTTTCAAAGAAGAAGAAGAACAAGGGCCAAACATCCCCCGGCATCTCAAAGTCGTGCCGTCGCAAGGAGTTCACTCTGCTCTCAACAACCAAGCAGTGCCACAGCAGAGAAGTTTAACTACGCACTCAGCAATGTTAACCAGCATAATTGCATGCCTTGCAGTGGCGATGTGCGTGCTATTTTTAATGAAGTGTGTTGATATGTTTCTCGAAGCGCCGACTGAAGTGAAGTATACAATGGTTATCCTTATATTAGTGCTTCTGTTCTACACTTCATACAGAACTAGGTACCATTATTCATTTATTAAATCTTCATATACAATATTTACTCGTATATTACGCATAAAGATAACCAGGATCGCATTGGAAGAATCTTAGTATCTGCTAACGCAAGGTTTGTTCGAAATTTAAATTAATATTAGGTAAGGTAAAGTTGGCTGACCACAGTGGTCGCACGGTCAAAGGCAAGAACTGTCTACGTTCGCTCGAACGCTGGGGTCGTGGGTTCGAATTCCGCACAAGGCATGATGTCTGTATTTTGTGCTATTATTATGTGTATAGGTAGAGGCATTGCGACCGGCTGATCCCCCGTGCGAGGGGTCATAAGGGCTGTGTATAGGATCAAGGAACTGAGAAATCGGCCAAAGCCCAACAAACGGCCGTAGAGCCTAGAGCCATAATAATAATAATAATAATAATAATAATAATAATAATAATAATAAAGGTGAAGTTATCTCTATATTTATTCAATTAAGGAAGTAACCATTACTACATGAAGACGTAAGGGGAGTGAAGTTATATCTCCACCATTTTTATCTCGGCACTGAAATAAATATTAGGCGTGCTTAAATTATTTTGTGCCTTATTTAACGACATCGATATTAGCTAGAATATATAGTGTCGAGTGGTATGTTGCCCTCCGGTGTCCCGGGCGAGTTTCGAATCGAGCACGTCCCGAATAGTTTGGGTGTTATACTAAAACACAAAGAAATGATAACTGTAATAAACATTTCTGCAAAGTAGAATTTGAGGCTCTCACAGCGGTGGTTATGAAGAGAACTATCTTCTGAGCTATACCAAGTATTCCGTTGATAGTCAAACCGACGTTTCGAAAGAACATACCGCCTCCATCTTCATTGTGCTTGTAATCTATCACGCTGGCACATTGATCGGTTAAAAAGACCCTGAATATGTAGGCGATATGCTCCTCCGAAACGTCTGTCGTCTTTCAACGGACTACATGGCGTTATATTCCAGTTCTATAAAAAGTATTTCAAGATGCATGTACAGATTGGAAAATGAAACACAAATCGAAACTCTATTTATATTCTGAACTTAATTAAATTGAAGGGACTCTATCGCTTATAGGATGCAATTACATTTGGTTAAATTTAAAATGGCCCGAAATGGGGTAACCCATAAAGAAGCCCGTTGATTCCACTTCAACTAAACCGAACAAAACTACCTGTTACAATCTACTACGTCACTGCGAGGCGCTCCTGCCCCAGATGAATTCGCTGGCACAGTTGAATGATACAAACGACGAAACAGCACTGTAGCAGGCCACAATTAAACAAAGTCAAATAAAGAAGAGCTATGCATTCAGTTGAGTCTGAGGTTGTTTGGGAACAGGGTGTTGAGGAGAATATTTTGACCGAAGAGGGATGAAGTGACAGGAGGTTGGAGAAAACTGCATAATGAGGAACTTGTACTCTTCTCCAAGTATAATTAGAATGATCGAGTCAAGGAGGATAAGGTGGGCAGGGCATGTAGCACAAACGGGGGAGACGAGGAATGCGTATAGGATATTGGTGGGAAAGCCAGAAGGAAAGACCACTGGGAAGACCAAGGCGTAGGTGGGTGGACAATATTAGAATGGATCTTAAAAAGATAAGCTGGGATTGTATTGATTGGATTGATCTGGCTCAGGATAGGGACCAGTGGAGGGCTCTTGTGAACACGGTAATGAGCCTTCGGGTTCCATAAAGTGCTGGGAAATTCTTGAGTAGCTGCAGAATTGGCGGCTCCTCCAGAAGGGCTCAGCTCCATGAGTAAGTAAGTAAGAATGCAGTTGATCAGATCCACACACGTTCAGAATTTGTCGCACTTGATGGTCTAAAATTATCGACAAAATTTAAATTCATTCTCTGATTGTAAGATTTGACGCTTTCAGAACGGTGACCATGAAGAATGCTGTATCCTGGGATCTGGCGCCGTGTAGATCTTGTGTAAACCGATATTTCGAAGGAACATATCGCCTCCATCTTCAGGGTATAAGGCTGCAGCCACCTGCTCACGCTGGTTCCTCGCTCTCTGATTTTTCTACCCTGTAAGTGGAGGCGATACGTTCCTCCGAAACATCTGTTCATACAAGATCTACACGGCGCCACAACCCACAAGACAGTATTCTTCATTCTCAGACCTTTAAAGACGTTTCTGCAACTGCGCAGGACATAGTGAGTAGAATAAGAGGATCATACAGAATAATGTAATTGGGAAAGACGCGAAAGGAAGTGGTCGTGGTATATTTTGAAGTATTGTCCCAGAATATGGCCGACTAAAATGACTAACGTACATCACAGGACCTAAGACTGAGCCTTTATTTGTAATGTAAGCTTGAATAATAACATAGACTTTGCTTCAAACTTGCATATAGACTGAAACGTCACTTATTTTTCCGCACCTTTCTTCACTAAAACTATGATTTTTTAGTTTCTAGACCTCTTTCACTGTCTACTACTCCGAATAGACCACACAACTACCCTACTTACTTCGTGTCTCAAGGCGGAAGTAGCAACAACCACAGAAACGTCGGCAACACTGCCCACATCCGCGAGATGAAAACAACCAAGTAATGAATTAACACGAATAAGTAACCACAACTGAGGCCTAAAAATATAAAATAGATTTGTCCCCGTCCCTTGATAAAAATGTTAGGTGGCACCAAATAATGCAATGGACAAAAATTATTATGTTTCTCCTCATGATTCCATCTGAGGATGGAAACATATTCAGTTTCCGAAACGTTTGGCTTGTTCGGAAAAAATAATAAAGATGGGAATATTCTGAAAACGCATCGATTATTAGTGTAATGTAGAACAATCAGAATTCTTTTATATTTAATCTTCCGTTATTTTCATAGTTTTCACGCTGACATTACTGGACTAACTTAGTAATATAAATCTTCTTCCATATTTTAATCTCAAATATCTCTAAACTTATAGATGGCAGTATCGGGCGGCAAAGGAAAAAAATTAACATCCAATCAGATTAGTCTACGAAAAATTAAAACGCGACCAAAGGTGGGGGTAGTAAGTGCAACCCCTTACCCCATAAGAACTTCTCAGCAATTCAGTAGTTCTCCGGCGTCCAAGTCTTAACGTTTGACTAGTAGCTGAATACTGGACGTTCCAACTAGGGGAGCACTGCAGTCACAGGAAGTTCAGCGATATGGATGAAGAATCCACCTCTGCTTTTATGTACTACTTAGTTTTTCTTACTTTTCATCTCCTTTTTCATAGTTTGTACCTCGGATTTGAGCAAGCACTTTACCTTACAGTATTTGTAACAGTTTTAAGCGCTATCATACTCTTTGCTATCGAAATGGTGTTCGAAGATATTAATTTCCACGAAGAACATACTAACACAACTGTATGGAACATATCTGCAAAAGAATACCGTCGGTACAAACGCAAAAAATATTAAATTGCGGTAATACTTCAAGTGTTGTATGGGACAATAAAAGATATTAGCTTTTGGATATACTGAACTGCAATAATATGAGAACTGATTATTCTTAAATTTTAATCTTTAAACTAATTAAAAATAATTTTTAAATTTATTTTTTTCCATCTAGAAATTCTATTGTTGAGAATTGTTTTGTGTTAAGTGAAAACCGTAAGATATCTTAGTGCGGTCTATAGGTTTGTTTGACTTAGGTTTATACAAATATACGGCCTAGAAGATGAAAATGATTACACAGAAGATAAATTTTACTTTTAAAAATTTAACAAATATAAATGTGTGGATTGTGACTGAAGAAGAGTCGGACGAAGCTGATTTCAATATTACGCCTAGAAGCCGAAATGTGCCACATTCATGAACTTTCGTCAATGAAATGGTAAGTCAAAAAATGAGTACTTATTTACTGACCACTACCCGCAGAATTTGGTCTCACTGTTCAGTGGGAGAAGAATCAGCATCTGACAGTTAAATGCATAACTTGTTCCTGATGTTAACATTGACATGAATAGAGCAAGTGGTTATAGCGAAATTAACAAGGAAATATATGTCCCAATATAAGAATATAATTTTTAATTCAGCCTACTAACTCTCTAGGACACAGTACGTGTTATTTGAGGTTCATTACCGTCTCCAGAAGACCTGCTTTTTAATATTCAATGCCTAGGCATATATATATGGCGTTTAGTGTAGCGAAACATAAATATTTTAATTTAAATTTTATCAGAAATATCTATTGCAAACAAAGTCGCATGCTTCAGATATCATTCCTTCTTACTCTGTTCTGCTGTCACAATAAAGCAATGAAAACAGATTAAAATAAATGCAGAATCTGATTAAAATATTGAATTTTAAACCTTAATACCAATAGGAAGTTATTATACAGTGGAATTATCTGTTCTTCCAGCAACTTGCCTATGAGACTGTATAGGATGCATGTTATAACGTGTATTAGTGACTCGTATACGAGGTTTTGATTGGCGAATCGATTTACTGGATATTCACTAGTCGTAACTACAATTAATTATAACACATAAGATGAAGTCTTCTGCATCTGCTTTAACTAGGCGTTGTTAGGTATGAGATTTCATCTATGGTTTACGCCTTTACAACCTCTTCACTATCCGTCTCCTGTCAACAGATTTTAACACAAAACAAATTCGCTGAACGATTGGAATCTCCTGGTCCGAACTTTCAAATTATTTGTAGTGCCGAATGTCTTCAAGATAACTTATAGGCTAGGACCACGCATTGTTGCGTGCTATTCTGTTGGGGTTCCCATGTGATAATTACTAAGCCACTCTATTGGTGTGCTGCCTGCTTTCCAGCAATAGAGAACACTATTCTTATCGTTGCGTGCTCGTATTTCGGACTGGCCTAGAGATGGGCGTCCGTCTATTGTTGCGTGTACGTCTGTCGCGGAGTGTACCGAGCCGTTACCTACCAACGTTTTGAGACAATCTGTCACAATATAATTATTTGAGTTTGGTGGGATTTAACCTTTACTAGGTTTCTAATAGAGTAGACTAGTCGAAACGGGAGAAAGTTGTGAATTAAGTGCAGAATTCTATCTCATTCCTAGCATATAATAGAATAAAATGATGAAATGTGTGAAAATGCTCTGTTCTGAATAACCAAAGGAATACAAATAACTATAAAGGAACGAAAATTTGATAGACGAGTCTTATGTTATGAGGCTCTTCGTTGTCTTCAGTCCTTCCCAGGGAATGCGGATTGGTAGCATGAAACAATCCGTCGCCTCCATTCTTCTGACATGTATAATAATAATAATAATAATACGAGTAATAAAGTGAGAGGAGGTTGGAGGAAACTGCATAATTAGGCGCTTCATAACATGTACTATTCTCCGAGTATAATTAGAATGATCAATTTAAGGAGGATGAGATTGCCAGGGCATGTAGAATGAATGGGGGATAGGAGGCATGCATATAGGAAATTGGTGGGAAAGCTTGAAGGAAGGAGAACAGTGCGAAGACCAAGACGTAGGTGAGTGGACAATATTAAAATGTATCTTAGAGAGATAGAATGGATTGGATTGATTTGGCTCAGGATAGGGACCAGTGGAGGGCTCTTGTGAACATGGTAACGAACCTTCAGGTTCCATAAAATGCTGGGAAGCTACTGAGTAGCTGCACAATTAGCGGCTTCTCAAGAAGAGCTCAGCTCCATGAATGAGTGGGTGATATATCTGTAATATATTTAGAGCTGTTTAATAGCGCGTGAATCATCTACAACTAAACATATTTTGGCCTAAGATCTCATAAAATTGAATGTTCAGTTGATTAGTTTGTGCAGTATTTAAAAAAAGAACTATTTATGTATTCTTATACATACTTTCATACATGTGGTATATATATGTCCCCTTAGGAAAGCAGGATAGTTAGCCCTTAGCAGTTAACAGTAATCAGTCTGTATTTAGAAATGGTCCCCATCTTATGTAAGACACATGTAATAGTAGAATCCATGCCGCCTCTTAGACGACACGTGCTAAAAACCTTGTTCGTACCAGTATTAAAGGTTCCTCTGTCACGATTTTGGAATAGCAAAAGCGCGCATGCTAGCAATAAATAACATGGCAGCACAATAAACCCTCGCTAATCCGGATCGATTGGAATGGTAGACTTCATCCGGATTAGTGAAGCAAAAGATAGCCCTAAATGACAAAAATCTTGTAACACAAATAAATGGAAAATTTAATCATAAAGCAGTGCTGATGAAAATAAATAAATATCACAGTAGAAATTACGTTTAAAAACTATTAAAATGAAAGATAAAAGGTAAAATTGTCCCTGTGCTTAACTAATTGAGTACTACGCCATGAAGATGTAGGGAGAAGTAGATATATAGATCCAGCTTTTCTTGACCACGACACTAGCTGGAGTTAAGTGGTCAGTTTCACGACCCGGACGCTTTACACCCGGGGAAAGAGCCCCTGGTACTCATGGGATAGCAGGTTAGTGGAAACCTAGAGCTGGTCTGGACGACGTGGAGAAGAGAAAATTCTTTACCTTACCGGGACTCGAACTCAGTCGTTCAGCCCGTGACTAGTCGCTATACCGATTACGCTAACCTGCTCTTCAAAAGACGATATATTTATTCATCGATAGAAGACTCAAGAGTTTTACTTGTTCTTGAACGTGATAATTCAGGTTTAAAGAATCTGTCAAGTGACTTATCTATCTTCCTAAATGCCATCTCTCTTTTAAAGTATTTACTCAATTATGAGCAGCATTTTTCATGTTTCGGTCCGGAATAAATGCAACCGGATTATCGAGGATTTACTGAATGTAGAATAGCACAGTTGAGAAGCCTGCGTGTGCTGCAGCTACATTACGACTGATAGAATTCAACGCACATAGTTACTTGACAATGTGAGTTTAGAATTTGGCGACATTTCGAAGGCCCTAAAATCGTACGTTTGAACCAACATAAAAAATGTAGTATATACAATTACTCTTAAGAACAAAATAACGTTACAGCGTGTAAGAAATAGTTGCTCTGAGCACCTGTTAACTTGTTTCAAGTTACAAGAGCGGCACTTGTACGTAGCTGTTGCATTTATGGAGCAATTCTCAGCTAATCTAAAGTGACAGCATTTGGTATTAACTTCAATTTTTTAATCTTGTCGTACTCTTACTGACTTAAGCTTAGAAATATTGTCCAAATTATTATATTACGAACAGCTTTCACTAAAATATTAAGAAAAAGCACATTGAGCCGCAGTATGACAAGTTCTAAATAATTGTAAATACGAGGGAGAGTCAGTAAATAGGCCACAAATGGAATCAAAACATTTGTAATGGATGTAATAGTTTTTCTAGTATATGTATCACCAGGTAGCAGCGGAGTCTAGCTTCATGACAATCTAGGTAGAAGGCGAGCAAGCGCAAGTTCAGAGGCTGATTTCATTAGTTAAAATGGCGATGGTGCTTTGAGGAATATAGTACGGAAGAGACAGCCTTCTGTTATACGTTTTCTTGTCGATAAAAGGACTCAATTAAAAGGATATTAATGAAGAAATATTTCCTGTTTATGGTGGGAAGTGTTTTCGTGTAAAGCAGTTCAAAACTTGGAAATAAAATTCACTCAAGCGGTTGGAAAGTCGCAGATGATACCCGATCAAGTGCGGAAGTGGCTGAAGACAACAGTCAAAAGACTTCTATACTGCGGTTTTCTATTATGTCGATGGGACAAGTGTATCAATGTAAGTGGAGGATATGCTGAGAAATAAATATTTCTTCTTTCTGGTTGGAAAATCAAATGTTTTACGTTTTATATGCATTTGTGACCTATTTGCTGACTCTCTCTTGTAACAATCAGTTGCGTTATGGTTTTGTACCCTTAAAGTACAGTCTTTACTGTACATACCATATGCTTCAACATTAAAAGACTATTTTTGCCAAATTTATGGATTTCTTCTAATTCTCAATGAAGATTGATTTATTCTCAAAACAGCCCAGTTTGTCGTTGAAACGGAGACACTCTACGTTTCGGCGAGTCTGGAAGTTCACTGGTAAAGGATGTTTGGGAGAAATTCAGGATTCTGGGCTCTAATGCGCAAAATGAGAAAATGTTCTTGTGAGGCAGGGCAAAGCCAATATGAACCATATCGAAATTATGAGACATGATCAGAATTGCCATATAAATTGTTATTGTGTGTTGGACGCAGTGTCTGGCTACTGACGACGACCACAGACAATAAATAAATAAATTATTCATATTTTAATAACCTGTATCCATGTTTATCAAGTATGTTCTCCTTATCTGATATACCCATCAAATTATATTCATACATTCAAACGTCCTTGGTATAGGAAGCAAAATCACAAAACAAAGTTTTCGTAAAATGTAACGATTTAAGTTCTCAATAAGAGCATGGTCTTTTTTTCGGAATATGACGCCGTACAATATGGCCGTTATGAAATTTTTAGAGGAGAACAGTGTCTCGATCTTCAACGTACATGTATATTCATCTACTCTGAAGAAGGAGTCAGTGCTCTCCTCCGAAGCTTATAACATTTTACCAGGATATATATCACATATCAGAAGACAGCAGTCTTCACAGATACCGCCAAGAGAACCTCTCCCGCGATTCCTGAACAGCTAACTTGAAGAATTAAAGAAGAAATTTATAAACTTCCATAATTTTTAACATGTGGGGTCGGTTCTTGGAAGCAGGAAAGAAAATAGTTAAATTTTTTTAGTATTTAAAATGTATTTTTGAGTTTCATAAAACAGAAATAATTCAGCTTTTTAAAACCTTAATGCGTGTTTTTATTTTCCTGCTTTGTATAACTGATATTTATTTTCAGGTCCGACCGCCATTATGCAGATGCCAGAATCTTGTCACGAGTGCTTCCACCTCTGCGACGAATTTATATCAAGCACTTTCGGCCCTCAACAATCATCATCAATTTTACAAAATCTCCGTAAGTAGGAAACATTGACACGCAGGGTCAAAAAAACTTATCGTAAAATATAACTTAAGATGGCCTCTAAGATTGCGGATCCATTAACCGGAACAGAGTCCAGTTGAGTCCAATCAAGTATGACTCAATTTACAAAGACAAATTCTCAGCTTCGCCCCCTTTAATTTGTACGGTGTAACACAGTCACACAGGATTTCTATGAAAAAATTGAGGATTACCTTCACATTACCCCAGTCTCTCAGATTCAATTGGACTCCATTCGGTTAGTGCCCTAAAAGCCTAAAGCGCAGTTTCATTTAAGAGTAACAATAAAAACAGAAAGTGTATCTTTCCATCAAGTTTAAGACACTAGGTTGAACTTAGGCTAATGATTGGGCCGCGGCGGCCCGGGTTCGATCCCGGGTCTGGTCAAGTGGGATTTGTGATGGACAAAGTGGCACTGGGGCAGGTTTTCTCCGAGTACTTAGGTTTACCTTGCCAATCTTCATTTCACCAATTGCTCCACAATCACCCTCACCTATCATCTGATGCTGGTACAATAGGCCAGAAGTGGCCGCAGTACAAGGGACTTAGTCCCACCCCACTAACAATAATAAAAAAAAATAAGCTAATAATGCATGGAACGCGTGTTTAAGAGCAACATTTAAATGACTGAAACGATTAATTAGAGTATTTATGCTTATAAATATATTATCTTTCTTTCATTAACCAAAAATTCTCTGCAGGTCTACTTGAAAATACATACAAGATCCAAGTGATAATTACAATTAAATTATTGCTTAAGTCTTTTATAATCTGAATGAACTACCTTAGGAAATAAGACTCAGTTTGGTTTATTAAATTCATATGTTTCGACCATTTTATCTGGTCATTGTCAGGTGCTCTATTGCATTACAAAACACTTTAGGTCTCAATAGAGCACTCATTGTTTATTTGTATTCACCTGACGATGATCAGATAAAATGGTCGAAACATGTTGTGATTCTAGTGAAACAAATTGAATGTTATATATTCTCTGTGTTAGACGGAACATGATAACTGATTAGTTTGAACAAACAACAAGCTGCATTCCATAAAGATCAAGAGATACGAATCAAGTTAGTGTTTAAATTAAGTAATTTCCTAAACTAATAAATGTACATTTTTGTACATCCAGTATCCTCAGACACGTCGATTCAATTCTATCTGGATACAAGACGTAATGTAAAACTCTTCGTAACTACCGGTGTGAGAAANTCGACGGACTTTTTATTGACTTTGAAATTTCTACCGCTTTGTCGCAATTAGAGCTACAGTTAGTTCTATGTAGAGAAGTGATGTAAACTTTGAAAAACACTGGAATTTGAAACATTTTGTGCAGATACATGAGATTCGTGGGTAGGAAATGCAAGAGAAATATGGAGTTGACTGTGGCCATCAAGCGCTCAGGATAGAGGCGAAGCACAATAAATTGGAAGGGAGTAGTTTTTTTCAGTTGACAAAACAGTCTCTTATATGAGAGGGTTTCATACTAAATNTTCAATTCTCACATTCATCCGAAACTGCCCTCAAGTTAAAACGCCAATGTTAAAATATTTAAAATTTAAAACATTGTTAACACAACACGCAGCGNTTTTGCTGAAAAAGGGGAAAGGAATTTTTTTCACGAAATAATTGAATATGACACTACAGTCTCAAAAAAATTTTTTTTTCATTGGCGCTACATTTGGGCCTAGGCCTACCTCCATGAAACTCTCCGTTTCACTTGGGTTCTACTAGATCTTAGACATACGATAGGACTCCTTGGGCGGGTGATCAGCTCGTCGCAAGGCCTCTACCTGTACACAAACATCCATGCCCTCAGAGGGATTCGAAACCACGATCCCGGCTTCCGAGCGAGCGAAGATAGTGCATACCTTAGACCGCTCGGCTACCGTGACCGGCCTCAAAACAAATATTTGATAAAAATTTAGCTCTATATTAATCAATGTACAGTCTCACGTAATATATTTTTAACAGAACACATATCTGGCCTATTCGAATTGATTTTATATTGCGTAATGGTAAACTATATATATATTTTTTATTTATTCATTTACGTCAATTTACAATCTACTTGACCACTGCAAGTAATAAGTAAATGCGATGGGTGAAACTATATATAACATTCTTTACAGGTCGCAATATGGTCATAATGGATTTCTCAATACAATTTCCTATACGTATTTTTAAAAATTCTAAGTATGCAAATATAAGTTTTCATTCAATCTCTCAATATGATGGAAAATAAAATATAAGGTGACTCCCTTGTTTATTTAAAATTGTCATAACCAAACACGGATTCATAGCTTGTATTTGAAGATCAGCAAAAATTATCACCGATTTACGTAGCCTAACACGATTCTAAATTAGTTACATATTAGTGACACTATGCCAAATATTTGTGTTTGAGAACAGGGTGTTGAGGAGAAAATTTGGACCGAAGTGAGATGAAGTGACAGGAAGTTAGAGAAAACTGCATAATGAGGATCTTCATAACTTGTACTCTTCTCCAACTATAATTAGAATGATCAAATGAAGGATGATGAGGTGGGCAGGACATGTAGCACGAATGGGGGCGACAAGGAATGCGTATAGGATATTGGTGGGAAAGCCAGAAGGAAAGAGACCACTGGGAAGACCAAGGTGTAGATGGATGAACAATATTAAAATGGATCTTAGAGAAATAGGATGGGATGGTATGGATTGGATTGATCTGGCTCAGGATATGGATCAGTGGAGGGTTCTTATGAACACGGTAATGAACCTTCGGGTTCCATAAAATGCTGGGAAATTTATGAGTAGCTGCAGAATTGGCGGCTCCTCCAGAAGGGCTCAGCTCCATGAGTAAGTAAGTACGTAAATGCCAAATATTTGGAAGATGTCATGAGTGATGTAGAGGCTAAATACAGGGCCGTCCCTGTACAACATCGTATAGCTCAATACAACAGAGAAAAATACGGAAAAATAACCATATTAAGAGTGGAATTCGACCACCGCAAAACTTTTATTTTCGAGAGCTCAAGAAGACATGTAGCTGGAAGAATCGAATGTTTCATGTATAATGCGTAAGCTCGCTTCAGGGTTCCGTGCTCTAGAAATTTCACGGCGTTCTTTCTGGGTTCTGTAGCAAATAATACAGAATATATCTCAGGTAAACCCCACTTCATTTTCCTGCTTTGGACAGGAATTATTTAAAAGGAAAATCATATAAATGATACTATAATATCATACTTCGTGAGGATAATTCCTCCATATCAGTTAACGTCAATTAAATAATAGACTCTTAGAATTTATCCTTCAGAAAACAAATTAAGACCACTCAAAGAGCAAGGCGTAAGGAAGCCAACATTGACAGGTGCCCAAGGGAATTGTGGGACTCAAGACCTCCAATTACTGATGACAGTGTCTAATGGTTTGGTTTTTTTCGTGATGATAAAACTTTCTCTATTGGAACCTGTGAGAAAAACTGAAGTGAAGTAGACGGAGAGATGATTCATGAGGGGAGCAGGTGTAAATCTTTGTAAGATTTCATTTCACGTAGTTAAAAATGTATTCCGACAACCTACAATTCCGTATTTGTTTAGCCAGTGACAAAAAGTGACAAAGAATTTACTTTGCAGTGCGATGTGCCCCTAAGACTGGATATGGAAAGTACACGTATTTACATCTACAGTAGTTAGTTAGTTACTAGAGAGGGTGGTTTTCCCCATGCACTTAGACCTGTAGTGGTCCATTGTGCTTCCCTCTATGATTTCTACCAGTCTCTATATCCTACCGGTAATGGTGCTTACCATCAGTCCCGCCCAGCCAGCGAGACCGGCTCTACTAGCTGAGAGGTGTCTATAATTCTTGCCCCATCTACCGGAGGTATTAGTGACTGCTGTTCGGCGGGAAACGTCCGCAATTTTGGCTCAGTGATGTCCTTTGGAGGTATGAGGTTCTTTTACGTGCCGTAAAGCTACGACACGGGACCCACTGTTTAAAGTCCCTCCCGGAGGACTTGTTCCCTGAATTTTTCCGCCCTTAAATATTCGACGACCTCCGCCGGGTATTTGAACCCGCGTACTACGAGTCATGAGGTGGGAACGTTACCTCTAGACTACGGAGGCCGCTTTACATCTACAGCAAATAAACATCAAGCCCTGTGAGGTATGAAATGTTGCATGAAAGGATTTTGAAAATTTGTAGTTCAAATTTAATAATTTTATACGTATGAAGGTCCCCCTGTGCCATGAGTTACATATAAAAACAGGTAAAGCCATCCATGTACCAGGTCATGAAGGCCAATAGGGTTGTGAGACGTCGAGGCTCCCAAATTTTCTGTAGACAATCGGCTCACAGGTGGCGGTAGGGTTGTCAGCGTTACATGCCGGCCACTCTTTATCCACCCCCGGAAGATTTCTGGTATTAATTTCTGTTAGAGGCTGAGTCGACCCCAAGGCCATATTGTGGCTGGAAGAATTATGCTTGTAGCACAGTGTCTCAACCAACTGTGCTACCGCATGCCCCCATGAATTACGTATTCGATATGATGTTCACAACATCTAGAATCTCGGAAAAATAATTCTTTTTGCAAATAGGTTGTACAGAAATTCTGAGAAGTGAACGTTTAATTTTATAGAAGTATTCTATAAGAGTGAATGTTAGAAGAAATTTTAAATAAATTTCTCCTTGTTTCAGGAATTGATGGAGTTCTGTCAAGATATCAAAGGCATGCTGAGATAAGAACATTAGTACCAGAACTTCATACAGAATATCTATTAAAATTTTAACAGTATTTTTAATAAAAAATTTAAATTTGATATTTATATATAGACACCTCGCTAAATCAATTTCATTTTAAAATTTTAAATGTTAACTTTTGTAATCTCGTTGTAAGTCACATTCATATGATGTTTTAAAATAATGTTGACTGATGTATTAAAGAAAAGAATATTTTCAAGCATGTGAAGCCATGCATGATACTTATATTTTTCAGCTGCACATAAAGAATGAATGCGGGCAGGTATCAGTGCAAGAATTCTGTACAGAACAAGGCAGAGTAGTCAAGAGCTATTGCAAAGTTTCAATTTATTTATGTCACCCCTGTTTAAAGAAATTTCTATACTTCACTGAAACCTTTGAAAAATATTCAGTAGAAATCCTTGGAAGATAGTGTAATATTAATAATTCCTCTATCCGCAACAGCAGACTAATTTCAAAAAGCGGCATTCTTCTTAGGACACTCTTAGTCATTCAATTGTGAAGCAATAAATTCACTCTCCTAAAAAACCTAATGTTCAATGCCGTTCTTACAAGAAGCGGCTACTGGTTCCTGCCCATCAAGATATATTTCGGTATTCTCCCCCCCTTATGAGACCAAGTCTTCAATGTGATCTCTTCACCTTTCAGATTTATCGATTAAAACTTTACATTTATTTCTTGTTTCCCCGGTGCTTGTAATGTGCGCGGCTCATTTAATATCCTCGATTTAATTATCCTAAATAATATCTGGTGAACGTATGTTACGAAATGCTTATACAATTCTTTATTGGAGTCCGTCGTAACACAACATAACGAACGGTCAAGGTCGACATAACCATGACCTTGACCGTTATGTTGTGTTACAAAGGACTTCATTAAAGAATTGTATATAATAACACAACAGGATGAACGAAATGAAAAAAAAATGAAATCCTTTTTTTTTCTGGCCGAATATTCTCCGCTGCACCGCCCTCAACACGACTACATAGAGCTATTCAGTTTTCTCATACAAACACACATATATAAGTATATGCATAAAGACATATACACATTAACTCATATACTTTGCACACCCGCACACACACGTTATTCGAGTGGGATTGTAATGAGCAATCGCAGATTTCAAATTGTTTGAGAACATTGTATAACTGGAGCAGAATATAATTTGTTACATATTCATAAGTCTGCCGACATTTACATTAGACCAGCGAACGACCCCTTTACATCAACGGCGAATTAAATATACTACTAGATAAAATATTTATTGTAGAACTATTCCACAGATTGGATTACTTGAAAGCAACAACAGCTAATTTCAGAGGTTTCTTATATCATATAGGGCGATGTATTTTGCTAAAATCATCTCGGGCTATTAGTTTAACGACCAACCAACTTTACGTTGTTACTACTGAAAAAGAGTTATGGACATTGCATCAGGGAGGATCTATACATATGTGACTGTACAAGTTGCATTAGTAAAGAAATTTTATGTTCAGGATATAATTATGCTGTCCACAATCAGTGAAGCAGTTTTAAACTGCTTTCACGAATAAATGCATTTAAAATAAGTGTAGACCCCATTTAACAGCAGTTCTGATAAAATATATTATTCCCCAGTGGTGTTTAAATTAGGTTTAATATATTCCTGGTAGGGTGTATTATAGAGGCGAATAATTGAAGGGGCGTATATACATACCAAAATCAATAGTAGTAATATGTGTTTTGTTTCTGAGTAGGCTTGAAATTAACAGGAGGCATACAGGGTTTTAGAATCTATTGTAATAAGCCTAACACTATTAATGAGAAAACTTGTAGAGACTTATCATGTGTCCACTTGGGTCATGCTGCCCTTTTCGGATCAGACCTGTCTACAATATTTCGTTGATGTGGTCTACATTAATATTATTTAAGTGCATATTTTGAAAAGGAAAAAAAACTTTGCAAAATCTCATAAACCAAATCATTCCATGATGTACATATAATTCACACGTCTACATTAATACTCAACAAAAGCACAGACACTGAATTGAAACACCTCTCTCTTCTTCGTGATACCCTTAATATTTTCAAAACTGGTTGCCTTTTTATTTATTATGATAATCCCCAAATTGCGTCTGTCCCACTATATTTATCCGAGAGATCGCAATGTGGAAAAATGTGTGAAAACAAAGACGTTCCCTTGCAGAGGCAGCCCCAGTAAAATTGCTAATGTTGCTGTGTGAGTGGGATTTAGTCCAAGCCGAACTTATTTCTCTCCAGCTTCTACTGTCAGAAGAACAATGGAAAGGGGATGACAATGAATTCGTAAACTTAGTACAATTTATAATTAACTATGGCAAAAGAATTGTTTACGGTAGAGGTATTGCGCCGTCTTTGTTACCTCACAAGTCTTCTTTCTTCCTTGCCTTTCCAAGACCGTAATTTACTTCCCTTTTTAAATTCCTCACGCGTGAGACGTGAATCCATTCCTCTGCTTAATTCTTTAAGAACTATACCATGAAGAATATGGGGGAGTTGAGTTATACCTCCACTTTTCATACCCTCAGCACTTGGAGTTGAATGGTCAGCTTTAGTCCCTGGGGGAGTAGCCCCCGGTAGCCACTGGAAAGGAGGCTGGAGTGTGAGAGGGTTTTCTAACGTAGCGGATAGGAATGTTCTCAGATATGGAAGGAACCTCAGAAAATGTTGGGTAAGCACTATCGGACGCTTTTCCTTTCTCCACAACATCCAGACAAATTCTGGGGCCCATTCAGCCCCTCCTCTAATGGGTACCCGGTGCTCTTGCCCGTGAAGCTGACCACTTACCACCATATATCGTAGTACCGACGTCAAGAATATTGGAGCTATACTTTAACTCTCCCATGTCTTCATGGCATAGTGCTCAACTAATCAAGAACAGGGACAACTTTTAAGTAGCAGCTGGCAGCCATGAAAGGATGCTACTCAAGAGAACATCCAGAGAGGTTTGGCATGGAGTTAACAACACATCAATGCAATAATCGGTGCATATACACAAAAAGAAGAGGAGCCGGTAACAGCGATTGCCTACTGACTGGAGAACCGTGAGGTTGCAGTTCGAGTCCCGGTAGGGTCCAGACCGATTCTGGGGCCCACCCAGCCTTCCATCAAATAGAGCTCTTTCCCCGAGGGTAAAGCGACCCACTCACCTCCAATTAGAGCCGAAGTTAAGAAAAANTTTCAGTTTGTTTATCCTACACACAACTCATAGGATCCCTTTGACGGGGATCAGCCCGTCGAAAGGCCTCTACCTACACACAGAACAACACAAGCACCAAATAAACGCACAAAATACAGACATCCATACCTTGAGTGGGATTCGAACCCACGATCCCAGTGTTAGAGCGAGCGAAGACAGTTCATACCCTAGACGGCGCGGCCACTGTGATCAGCAGGGACATTTACCGGTCACAAATTTGGCGACATATGCCACTCATGTTTGGTACAGTTGGAGCAACAGAACTTGTATGAAAGTTACTGAATCAATTTATCTTCTTTTAGTAGGTCTTCCGAGAGACTGAGCATTGATCGTGCTGCAGATTCGATCACAGATCCCACAAGTTGCACGGAAACGTAACTGTCAAATTTACTTTCCTGTCTTAGGCAATAGAGAGCGTTGTCAGAGTGCACGTGTACTACAGCTGGCGGATGTAGCGGTGTAACCACTCACACATACCGAAGCGAGAAAGTTCAGTCACATGGCACGTTGCAGCAAGGAAGGTTCGAATATCTAATCAGCATTTAAAATTATTCTTCTGACACTAATTAATTAATTCACCGTGCTCATATATTTCTGTTTCTTCTCATTCAAGACGCTCCGGTTTCGTATCCCGCTCAGCCGACCAGTTATTCTTAATCCATAAAGGTAAAGTTATCCCTGTGCTTAAGTAATTGAGCACTACGCCAAGACTGTGTATGGGGAGTGGATGTATAGATTGATATTTTCTTGACCATGGCACTAGCTAGAGGTGAGTGGTCAGCTTCACGCCCCGGTACCCATTGGCTAGAATATTGGGTGGTCCCCACAGCCGGTCTTGACGACTTGGAGAAAAGAAAATTCTTGACCCTACTGGGAACCGAACTCCGACCCCTCGGTTGACCAGCCCGACGACTCTATTCCGGTCCCCTGTCCTTAATTATTACAATTATAAATCTCTCCATGGAAATGTTGGGATTGTACATAAAATATCAGTCATCACTTCTGCTTTTATCCACTGGTTAATCTTCGCACTCAGTGACACCCACCTTACATCTACATTGACTCGTCCGGTATCTGGAGAGTGTTCCGTTCTCCAGGCGTGCAAAGGAGAAGATTTAGAAATGCCAAGTGAAAGATTCACTCAAAAAACAAAATTTCTGTAGTAGTTATCTACCGAAAACAAAAAATGAGGAGATAAATGAAATTTGGAAGAGCGAAATTTTCTATACGGAAAGAAACAACACGGCAGAGGCACGGCTTTTTGTAGATACTCTATACTGAATCTCCTTGCTCCGCTCTGGGCTACAGCAAATGGAATTCTCGAAACCCAGCAACATCGACAAATTAGCGTTATGAATAGAACTGGGCTGCAGGAAACTGAACGACCACAATTGTTGTGGAGGGCCCACTTCACGGCTGTTCTCCGCCAAACAAAGTAGTGGGGTATCCTCAGCCTGCAATGGCCAGCACTCCTGCTTCCGCTACCCAGTTCGAATCTCGTATGAAATACCAACTATTCAAAATCTGGCTTTCTGTGGTTTATTTCACTCTGTCCACTTCAGATATTGGTACGAGAGTCGTGTTGTATAACAGATGGCATGTATGTGGAAAGGTGAAGCCGGAATAGTGTCAGTTGCTTCGCTTTTGTTAGTAGGGTAACGATTATTTTAGTTCAATAAAACGCGTGGAATTTCTTCATAAGTTTAAATATTATGTTTCTGGACATTATCCATCGTCCTGTCTCTTTATCTAAAACACCGCCCGCTTAAATTTCTAAACACAAATTTTCCGAGACTGGATTTTATCTCCGCCTTCAACCAAAACCTTCTTCGAAGATATCGCCGGAGATAGGGACTAGCTCAATCAATTGGGTCCAACTGAGTAAGTTCTACCTGAAGACGGAGACAGGATCTAGTCTCTGAAGCATTGTGTTTTGAATATAAACAGGACGGTGTTTCAGATATAAGACAGGAAGATGGATAATGTCCAGAAATATAATATTTGTATTAATGTAACATCGTCAGAAAATTTAAGATCTTATTCTTCATAAACTGATTGACAAGTAATCGCTAACAAGCGTTGTAGTGTAAGGAGTCTATTTATCTAATATATATATATATATACATACATACATACTACCACAGTCAATAAGTTCGAGGAATGGCTGCAAAGCATCTTACGGGAATTTCCTGACAATATGTTTCAGCAATGTTTTCGGCAGCTATATCAACGTTGGCAGACTTGCATAGCGACCAACGGCAACTATTTTGAGGCCGATGTGGATCTGCATAAGTGTATGTGAATACCTTGTAATATGATGCGATAAAACCACATTCCACGAACTTAATGACTCTACCACGTATATATATATTTCTATTTCTTATTTTCCTTGGCACTACAGCCCCAGAGGGCCTAGGCCTACCTCCATGAACTTCNTTGCGCAACATGTCACAATATATATGTGTGTGTGTGTGTTATTCGAGGTA